GAAACAACAGAATGAGTTAAGCAAAGTAAATATAAGAAGCGAAGGAGATGAAATAGCTGCGCGTGTATTTGTGATGCTAAACCCCCGTGCACATCTCAAAGGTCAACATGCAGTTTAGTGTTGTCACCATGCAGGATGTGGACATCTCCACCCGCCTTACCTGGCAGCAATGTCATCGTCCTCTCCGCCCCAGCCCCAGTACTGGTTAGGGAAGCCGTTCATCTTCATGTACTGGTCTGGGGTCACTGCTGACACTCCACCAAAATACTGTGTGTACGGCAGCCTGGGAGGGTCACATTACCAATGAACAATCTTAAAAACGACTATTTCTGCACAAAAAAATTAAAGGTCTCCTATTATACTCTTTTTCATCAATATATTATAGGTGTCGGATATATAAAAAACATGTCTCTGAAGTGTTTGCCTCGAAATACCAAACAGATCGTGCATTGTAGCATCCCATAATCCCCTCTGTTTCAGCCCTGTTTCAAAAGTGCTGATTCTCTGTCTGTTACTTTAGATGAAAATAAGGAGCCACTCCCTACGCCCCTCTGAAAGATATTTGGTTAAAAAGAACACAATGGTGCTCTAGGAGGAGATTCAGGTGATAAGGTGGGGGGGTTTGCCTTGGTTGGTTATTGGCTAATGGTTACACAAGCCAACAAATCATTATGACATCATAAAGTGGCCAAAATCTGATCAGCTCATTTTCAGACAGGTTTTTATATAAATGGATCAGGACGAAAAGTGAGCAAATCTTTTTTCCTGAAACTTTCAGAATCTCTTTACACAGAGGGGACACATGTTTTTTTTTCTAGCATAAAATACATTAAAAAGTGGATTTTGCATAATAGGTGACCTTTTAATATTAAAGTCCATCCACACACACTGTGTTGCTGCTACCTGTATCTGAACTTGTCCATGGCCACAGAGAGGTGTGTGGGGAACTGTTTGTGGCAGGTGTAGGTGTTGTGGTCGTTTTCGGGCAGCAGGTCGACATCGTGCAGGAAGATGCAGCTCCAGTCTTCATCTCTGAGCGCCTCTCGCACCCCAACATTCAGCAGCTTGGCTCTGTTAAAAGTACTGTTCCCCCACTGAAGCAGACAGAGGGAGAGACACAGCCACAAATAAATGAACAAGTCTAAAACAAATACAGGATGAGAGAACACATTGTGTGAGTAAATAATCTCACACTGTGCTGCTATGGTTACAGTTTATCTACAGTGAAGCCTCAGAAACGAAATACTTTTACACCTAAATGTCCTTTGTTTGTAACAATATTATTTCAGATATTCAGTCAATCCAATTTAGCCGACATAAAAAAAAAAAAAATCTAGCCATGCACATACTTTTGCTTTTATTTTGCTAAGTTTTAAAGACACCTGCCTGTGAGATTCAGTGTTTCTTAAATAGGAGTAGCTTCAGGGAAAAACTGTTATTTTTCTTAACAGTGAATTATCCAGAGTAACCAGGACACCTAAGACACAGTGGGCCTTTTGACATTTTTGAAAGAAACACAAGAAGCACCCTAAAATAAATCCAATTTTCATCCATTGGGAATATTAGAGACATACAGCTCTGGGACAAATGAAGAGACCAGTGCAGAATTATAAGTTTATCTGGTTTTACTATTTATAGGTATGTGTTTGAGTAAAAAAAAATATTTGTTATGTTATTCTATAAACTACTGAAAACATTTCACTGTGTTGGAATTCAACAGGCACTGGAATGGAATATCTGCCATACATGTAGAGTTTGAGATTTAAGACACATTTGGAGTGTATATCTCCAAGCTAAACCAAACCTACGTATATGTATGAATCTGTCTATCTGCAGGTCTCCCTTGAAAAAGAGATCAATGATCTCAATGGGATTTCACCTGGATGAATAAAGGTTTTGAATTGAATAAAGATAGGTACCACAAGACTCTAATAAGATGCAACCAATTCACTCAGAAAAATATACTGATACTAAACTTTGGAGCCAGCATTCACACACAACAACACAAACTCATGCATAACCTGACCTGCTGCACTATATAGATGCTGTAGTGGATCTGCTGTCTTTGCAGGAAAGGGTGGAGATGGTAGAGGAGAGCACGGAGGTGGATCTGCCGGTTCCGGTACGGCACCACTATGGCCGTGTGGTGGCGAGGCTCACAGTCTGGAGGCCGATAGTGTCCACCTGGCAACACTAACGGGTTCCTCTGTTTGATCTCCTCCAGAGACAGAGGAGAGGAAAGCTTGACAGACACAGGTCCGACTGCAGGAGAGGAAAGGATAAGTGTGAATACTTGACCCATAAAATGATAGTTTGTATATCAGTTACTCATCCCGCGTTACCTTGAATTCTTAAAGAAACATTTATTTTTACTTGCATGCCTCCCCGGTGAACGAAGAATTCAAAAGTGAATATAAGTGGATAAGAGTCTCCTTCAACAACAACAAAACTATATCAAAACATCTATTTACAAACTCTCACACAACTTGTGCAGTATAATCGGAGTCTCATTATTTTGTTATGTTCACTACTTTCCAAACTCATGCATTTTTACTAAAATGAAATGCACTGCTCAAGCGGAAGATTTTAAACAGTATAAACAGTAAGGTTTTAGAGTAAATAACATAAAGTGTTTCAGAGGTAAAGAGCCCATTACAGAACAAATAAGACTTGGAATATACTATAGTTGTGTGAATGTTTGTGAACTGATGTTTTGTGGAGGCTTGCAGGAACAAATACTTATTTTTTCAAGAGTTTCCGGCATATTGATTGATTGCCTGCTCAAACTGACACACATCGCTTCCCTGTGCAAATTTTTGTACACACGTGTTACATTTAACAGCACATATTTAACACCTCTCACTCTCTCACCAAGCAGTGGTGAAGGGATCTGGCAGTCTCTCAGTGGGGGGCCTGTGGCAGGGGGTCCAGTGCCCGAGTTGCGAGGTGGGGGAGGCGGTACTCCCAGATGACTGAGGTTGGTATAGACGTCGTGAGGTCGAGAGTAATCAAACTCCGGGTCTGTGGTATGCACCAGGACCGACACCAAGCCTTTGAAGCCCCCGAGAGAGAAATAGAGAACAAAGGCAAACTGGAAGCCCACCAGCAAGGCTAGTGTGCACGGAGAGTCCAGAGAGCGTCCGTAGCACGCCATCATAAAGTCATAGAGGAAGGGTGAAATTTAAACGTGGGGAAAATTGGATGGAGGGTTGTAAGAAGTGGTGGGGAGGGGGAAGCAAGTAACAGCTGGATGACTAGGGAGAGGTGGGATGAGCAAGGGGAGGCAGAAGGAGAGAAGGGGAAGGAGACAGCACTGAGTGTGGGCTCAGGTGTGCAGGAGGGGAGTGTCCATCTGTAGGAATGGGTAGTGATGAAGCACAGTCTGCACTTCCATCATCTCCTGGACACAGCCGTCCCTGAGAAGGAAAAATAATATCTATATTTTATGATATGTATTGTATGAGTTCATTATGTTTATAACAATAAGATATGTTGGGTACCTGCTTTCACAAAGGTCTAATGAAAACCTGTCCTGGACCAGGAGGGGCTCACTCCACCTCTGCCTCCTTTCATCTTTAAGCTTTCTGTAAAAAAAAAAAAAGAAGAGAAAAGTGATTAACAATGCAGGAGCAGATTTGTCTCAGTATGTTATCTACTGTAGGCTATTATAAGCTGCAGAATGACAAGCAGCTACAAACAAATGTCATGTTGGCTTCTTAATTTAGAATGGATTATTTTCAGCTGTGACATTTCCATGTTGCTTCTACGGAAGGGACGCTGATAGCTGCAGATGAAATTAATCCAACATAACATGTCTCTGTTTGTCCAAACAATTACATGCTGTAGCAAGCCTTGTGGCTTGATTACTGGAGCTGATGTTGACTATCCTGAGACAGGAAACAAGAATCCATTTGCTATTTAAAAATAGATCACAGAGGAGCAAATGCAGCGCCATGGTTATCAGAGCAGATAGCCTTCAAACCAGGTGATTAGCCTATCAACATATAGCCAGGCCTGTTCTCTCGTACAATGTTTACGTCACCAAATATGACAATAACATTTGTTCTACGGGATCACTGTCTGCATTATTTCTCCAGTCGGCCACAAAGGATGCTTCTGAATTAAAAGATTGGTTGCACCGAAGCTCTGCGCACCAGCCGACTCACCAGCACATCCCTGCGACATTTCAAATCCAACCCCCGGCTTCCTCTGACAGGCGATGGGCCGCTGACACCGAACAGATTGACTAAAAGATAACCTTTTCCTGGGATGCTGATGACTCGTCCTCCTAATCTCTCATCCGAGGCGAAATCTCTCCGTAGCTGCTTCCTAGAGAGCGCTGCAAACGCGTTCACACGCAAGAGCATCGCCGCATATCCGTCCGGTGTCAACACAGGCAAGTGCGCGCTGCAGCCTCACCGAAAGAAGGCTGATCACCGGATCTTTCCATCAGGGGGAGAGGGGGCTCCGCGGTGACGTGCTAAGCGCCACATTTGAAAATGATATCGTATCACTGATGATGATTCGCGGATTAATCTACACATATTTGCTCATATAAAATGAATGATGATTATCAGCGTAAAATAGAATTGGTTCACCCACTAATAGGCTACACAGCAAAAATGTATTTTCGTTCAATAGAAAACTACATAATTTGGCTACAGTAGGCCTATAACTTCCAAATATCACCCAAGCTGTTTAAACATGAAGTATCTAACATAGAGCATCAGCTGAATAATAATCCGAATTATGATAATAAATATGCATTTTTACTTGTTATACAATGTCACTCGGTGTACAACATTTTGTAAAATATAGTTAAATTATCTGAATGTTTATAGTGGCTTCCTTTATTCAGTCCACAACATTACACATTTCATTAACTCTCTTTAAAGTTTAGAAACAAGTCCCATTTATGTCAAATAACAAATCTGCTTCATAATAATGTTACCGTGTTGTAGGCTACATGTCGGCTGAGGCTTTTCGATCCATTCATCAAATGTTTTCCATACTTCTTCTTTATTTCTCAAACAGTATCCAACCCTGGGGCAACAGTTGTTTTCTAACTTTATGCAGCAGGTTAATAATGTCTTTATTCACATGCAGCAGTAGCTTGTCAGATTACAGAACAGAGACAGTACAGAATACTAACGGCTGGAGTATAGTTCCACATAGGTCTACCAATGTAAATAGGCCAACCCTTTAAATACCCTGAAGCAGATAAAGCATAATAGAAAATCTGTGCAAAACAATGCATCAACACTACTATTGTTTGTAGCACTATGTGAACACACTGCCTACATTTTCTCAAAGCAAAGCAGATGTGTGTTTTCTCTAAATGGGGCAAAACCCCCACTACCTCTAGTGTCCCCTTAAGGAGTATTGTATTATATAGGAAACAGACAGCATATTTAGTACAGAATAGACGCCTTAAAAAGGCTATCCTGGTGGTTCAGTTAAATCAGTTCAAAAAGAAAAAAGTGTTTAACACTGATAAGGGGAACCTCAAAATGTACTTATTGCCCTTTTTATTAAGTCCATGATATAAACAGATTTTTTTTTTAAAAACATGTAAACTTGAATAACGGTTTTTACATGTTGTACCGTTTAATTAACTGTCAGGAAATAGCCCTTAATCTGTGAAGTTTTTAGTTGATAGTTGTTTATTATGACAGTTTAATTTAATAATGGGCCAAATGGCTTCAGACCTGTGAAAAAAGGACAATATGATATATCTCCCAAAATAGCAGACACATACAGTCATATAGAGAACCTTTTTATATGTATATATAAAACATCTAAAATGCATTGCTTATCTATTTTTTTTTTAATTTTAATTAAAAATATCTTCTATCACAATAAGGAATATTGTGTGGGAAAAAAAGGAATAAAATGCTTCACAAATTTTCATTTCCATCGATTAAGGCAGGTGGGAAAACATTATTCTCAGACATTCTCCTCTGTTTTATCCATTTCAAATGGCAAAACATTAAAAACCTTAAATTAAAGCATTTGAAAACTCAGGTGAAATAATGCAAGCGCTTCACTTTCCACTCCCTTCAAGTTATGTGATTGTTTTTTAGACTTTCATCAGTTTGTTGCCCATCCTTGCCATCACCCAAAAACAACCGTAATAATAAAGATAATAATCTGAAATATGAACTCCCTTCTCCATCCCTCAAGTTTTGTTCATTGTTTAAATTATCTCCTCCTCTCCCATAACCTTGCCTTTACTCTCTCCATCTGTCTGTATCCCCCTGTCTTTACTTTTTGTAGTTGCCAAACTGAACAGCCAACCGGTCGCTGACACAGCGGAACGTAGCAGGCTGCACCTCCCAGTAGTTGACAGGGTTATCAAACAAGCTGATGCCGTTATAGAAAGTCCTCTTCATCCCAAATCCTCGAGGGCAGAAGTCATCCATGCCCACCTGGGCGATGTTGTTGGAATGGAGGTACACCACCTAAAAAGCAGCAAGATGTAGGGTGAGTGGAGCGCCCTGTGAAATATTCAAAGTCAGATCGCAAACAAAATATTTCCATGGAAGACTCACATGTAGGTATTTCATATCTGGGAGGCCTTTGGGAACATGAGTAAGGCGGTTGTTGTCCAGATGCAGCTCTCTCAGTCGGGGGAGGAAGGACAGGCTGCCATTCTCTATGTTACGGATATGGTTATAGCCAAGGCCCAACCTGGAAAAAGTGAGACAAGGAGAAAAACTTGAAATAGGCAGAAAATAGGCCAATGCACGATACATTTAGCTAAACTGTTTTACTAATGTTAGCCTGAGTATCTCCAGTTCCCTGATATAATGTAAGAAATGGATGTGAAGCCAGGTGAGAATTCATTCCACAGCAGCCTGGCTCCTGTGACCACTATTTATTACATTAGAGATTAGATGTGTGTTTAAAGGAAGTTAAATAAAACTGGACTGTGATAAAGCAACAGTGTAGAGAGGAATGCCTGTACTTTCCTATTTTGGCAACTTATTGCTGCAAAAAGGTTTATTAAAGGTCACCTATCGTGCTATTTTTAGACAATAGCATAGATCTCAGATATATACAAATATATAAAAAACATGTCTATGAAGTGTTTTGCTCAAAATACCAAACAGATCACCCATTCTAGCCATGCCTCATATCCCTCTATTTCACTTCCTGTTTCAAAAGTGCTGATTTTGGGTATAAAGCTTTAAAAAAAGAAAGAAATTGATACAAATTTAAAATGGAGGGGGCTGAGCTCATGCGGGACCGGGCAGCTACTGTCTAAACTAAATACTGCTGTGATGAAACGCCATATAATGGATTATCAAGGATTATTTCTGAAACAGTATGGAGCTCAAAGGTTTTCTCTCTTGCCGGTTATACCACAAGGTGAGTTCCTTTTTATATCCAGCTTCTTCACACACATGCTCTTCAGTACAGGTTAGCTCTGAGTGTTAGCGATGCTAATGTAAACACCGACGATATTACGTCCAAAACAGTCGGGCATTGTTTCTGATAGCAACTTTCTGATAGTGCCGTGGGTACACATTTTCGATATTACGTCATATCGGACGCAAATCTGGATCAGCTCCGTTGTACCCCCGTTTTTAGAGATTTGGGTACGGAGGAAAATAGGGATGGTTTTATTTTCTGACGCTGCGCGAGTTCCCCGACGCACCGGGGACACATATTTATGTATAAAAGACATCAAAAAGTGCATTTTGCATGATAGGTCCCCTTTAAGAGAATACTGTGGGGGAAAGTCCACACAAGCATAATGTGCTACTTTTAGTGGCATCTCAATGTAGTTCATACAACTCCCCCTGAGGGGCACTGCTGTCTGGAATGTTCTTCTTCATTTCAAACCACAGGATAATTCTTCAAAGACATGCAAGTAAATACCTGAGGGCACAAGAAAGTTATGGTTAGAAATGAAGTGGTGATTAAGTGCAAAAGATACCTGAACAGGTTTTTGTAGCGGCTCAGGTCCTCCAGTTCCACAGCCTGGATCTGGTTGTGATCTAGATGAAGCTCATGGAGACTGTCTGGGAGATCTGAAAGAGAGACACTATACCTGTAAGACTTAAGGGTAAGATTTGATATTTCCCATAGCTATACATTTATTGTATAACACTAATAAGATATATTATATATAGATATAAGTAGCTAGTTAGAGTAGATATCAGAATAATGATACCATTTAAATGTCAGTTAAACATGAAGCCACAACTAGCCATTGATTAGTCTAGCTTAGCATAAGGATGAAGAACAGGATAAATAGCTAGCCTGGCTCGGTCTGAATGTTAAAAAAAAATATCTGCCTACCAGAGCTTCTTGAAAAACATTTGACATTATCAAACCAAATTGATCAAAATGTGACACATTCCCTGAAACAAGTCAATTTACTGTGCTTGTGATGCTCAAAACTATTTAAAAAAAGTTAATAGCAGTAACACTGTCGTTTAAGGCAGAGCAAACGCCACATGGCAGTTATTCTAGTGTTTCTGTTTGTAGATTATAATGTATTCAAATAACTTAATTGCAAGTAATTCAGTTAATTCTGTATCATGAATGTCAAAGCTTTTATCTTGAAAATGATTGAGATTGATCAGCAAACTCTGAATAATATATATTGTTATGTTTAGCGTACAGGCATGAGAGTGCTACCAATAAGCATATATCCCAAATTGGGGAACTATCCATTGTACATAATGATGTTAGCATGTTAGCCACACAGATAAATGGTTACCTTTTGGCACCCCAGTCAGTTTAGCCTCTGATATGCGCAGATAATTCAGTTTCAGTCCCTTGAAGGCTCCTGGCTCAAAACCGCTGTTTTGGATGGGGTTTGCGCCCATTTCTGAAAGATAAAAGGAATATTTGAGGCACTAAATAAAATACAGACTATTTAATCTTCTATAGAGTGGCAAAGGCAGTGGTGAGCATCCCAGAGTCATGTCTGACCTATGCAGTTCATGTTCGCCAGTCCTGCGAAGGCACCAGCTGCCACCTTCTTGATGCGGTTCTCATGGATCCTGATCTCAACCAGAGAGGCGGGCAAGTTCTTTGGGACAGCGGTCAGCAGATTCTTGGAGAAGTACAGCTTCTGCATGTGCTTCAGAGGCACAAATGTTCTGGGGTGGACTTTGGAAATCAGGTTATTCCTCAAAGATAGGCCCTAGAAAAACAGAAACCATGGAGAAACCAAATTAAACATACGCTGTAGCACCCACACAGTCAGGAAATTAGAAACAAATATGAAACAAGGGCTTGTTTTTCATCCTCTGTCTCTACTGAATGTTTTTTAGTGAATTAATAAAGATCCAGCCGCAGTCCATCACCCAGCAGACTGTCTCGCCACCTGCACTGGCTGCAAAATGGAGACAGATGAGGCTAAGGTAAACAGACCTTAATAAAGATGTTATTGTATAATGTCATGATGTGAGTTTCCTGCTCGCTGCCAGACTTAATATTGCTCTTGGTCAGCGCTCTTAAATTTGGGTCAGGAGTGAGCAAAAACTTTCTGCTAAGAGAGGCAAGGATGTGAGCTTGAATACTCCCATTTGGCTTCAGGCTCAAACTTCTTACAATTAAAGCTCTCAGAGAGAAGGGCGGTGGAGTGCAAAACAGAAAGGAAACTAAGCATTTAAATCCTCAAGGAAATAGAGGGTTATAAGGATATCTCACACTATTGACGCCAATAGAAGCTGAGTTGTTTACACATGTTTGAGAAGTGTTGATGAGCTAATGCTGAGAAGGATTTTATGAAAGTGAGTTCTTAAGTGTTTCTTACATATAGGTTTGTGAGGCCTTTGAAGTCATTCTCCTTCAGCTCGGTGATATAGTTGTTCTGCAGGTCCAGGAACTTGGTGTCCCGGGGAATATTCTGTGGTACTTCAGTCAGACCTAAACACGAGACCAATAAAAACACAGAAGGGAAACATACTCTATTAAATGCTTCCATGGGAGAACCAACACCCTAAAACCAAAGTTCTTGGAATAGGCAAGCTCTTAGGATAACTTAGTCAGACACAGACTCTGAGAAAATAAATAGTCTCTGTGTGTTTTAAACCTTCATCAGGCATAAACATGAACCCAAACACACTCCCACACAATCTCAAATGAGCACTTTGGGCCTCCTCATCTATTATTTTAATGACAGGTGGACATAGACACAACCATGGAGGTCACACAGCGACGTCAAAGCGGCACATTACTGGTTTGTCACTTATAGAGACATACCAGATGGGGACGCCAGATGTTCTCCATCTGGTTACTACACGACAGACGTTCTCACAAAGGATGTGACTTAAATACCATCAGCAAAGTAACACATTAAATAAATGGGAGACAGACACAGCCCTGACACTTTAAAACCGAGAAACACAAGCTGTGTGTTAATGTGTGAGTGGTGAAGCCTCCATGCAGAGCGTCTTCATTTTGGTTTCTTTGTGACCGAAACACCTGCTAAGAAGTAATGAAGAATTGTTCAGTTTAACGACATCAGTGACAATCATAAACACCCAGAGCTGTTGTGGGTTGCTTGTGAATAGTGTTTGTTTACCAAGCAATACATTCATAAAGGCTAAGAAAAGGCTAAGAAAAGCAGACAGCGTTAAGAAATACACCTGCATTAATTCTGGGATCTCTCTGGAAAAATGACTCAGCACACGCACAAACACAGCAACCAGTGATCATTAGCAACACCGCATCACAGGGACACGTGGATGGGTGTATCAGATGTGGTCAGTGGCGCAGACAGGCAACTGTAAAGCGAATCCCGAACAGGGCCGACCTCATCTGGACGGCGACCATGATGCAACCAGACCTGCTGGTGAGAAAGGACGCCAGCTGTCCCACTGGGATCCAGTTTGCCACCAACCACACGGGTCCCGAAGGACTCTGCCCAGAGCTGTCCATCTCGAGTTAAGTTTAGATATATGGCTTTGGCTTTTACTGTGCCACACCCTATAAGATCAAACCCTCAACAGTTCCCTCTGAAAATCTGTACAAACCACGTCAACGCAGCGCTGAGAGAGATCTGTTGGTGGATGAGGAGGCTGGAAACTTTATATTATCCAGGAAATTAAGCAAGATGTTGCCTTCAGGGAGCAGAGATCAATTCATCAAAGATGTAGAAGAAACTTCTAGTTCCAAACTGGGTAATCTGTTTAAATTATAAACCAGATTATGATTTTCTTAAGTGTAATAAAGTTGTTTCAGCAGCTGTGTTAGCAACAGAACTCTAAAGATGCTCAATGTTACCAGGTGGATTCATGTGGTAGGAAATATTTACCTTCCAGCCATCACCGTCAGGTGTGGAAATGCATCCTGCCAGCTGGAAACCTTCACATGTGAATGCCAGCACAACAGACATGATAAACAAACCTGAAAAAATCTGACACACACCCTGATTAACTGAATCCCTTTAACCCACAAAACCAAACCACAGCGTGTCACCCGTATCTACCACAATCTCAAAGCCTTGACCACAAACTGACAAAACTAGCACCCTTCTAAACCCCAGCGTCCCCCAACACAAATACCCGACATCATCCTTCGATGCACGCTGAGAGGAGACAGACGCCACCGCTAAAATACATCTGTTCTAAATAAGCACTTGACATCGCGGAAATTATACGCTTCCACATTTACCCACAGCAGAGAGACCAGGGACAGTAAATATATAGAGCTTGTTGAATGATGATTCGACAAAACCATTATGTCCAAACACAGACAGCCTATTAGAGTTATATAGCCAGTATAATGTGAGGAATCTTTATATCCCTAAATAAGACTAGAGGTCATTTATTTGGTCCCGTAAGAATAGACAGAGTAGGAATAGCATGCACTTATAATATCCACAGGCAAGAAATCGTTGGATTGACTTATATGGAAACATGACTAAAATTGAGTCACAGACGTACTCCAAAAGCATTATGAAAATAAAATGTTGAGCTTGATTTGACGGAATTTCCTTTTCTTTGTATTAGTTTCAACAACAACATAGTTTCATGTTTTTCAGTGGAACTCCTCAATTTGAATATTATAACCCTGTTTGTTATCCTGACACATTAACACAACTTTTATCTTTATCATTCTTCCATCGTTAAACCCCATCCTTCCGCCCCTCCTGTTTTGGGTTTTCCATTAAACATCCTGTCTACGACCCTAAAACTAAAAAACTAAAAACTCCTTTTAAGAGAGTGAAAGGATTATAAACGTTCATCTCCTCTGATCAAAGAGTACTTTTTTTAGTTTGTCTCTTTACGTTGCTCTCTTGATCCCTTTCCAACTCTATTAAATTCTCTTCCTCCTTCCTTCTCTAGCCTCAGTCTTTTTCCCTTTCCTGCTCAAACCATCTCTCAACTCGTCTCTCAGCCAGTAGCCTATCTACACACAAAGTCTGGAACACAAAATCCCTCAAAGACATGCCTTTCCTTGTCAAAATACACCAGCATTATCCCGAGGGAAAAATTCCTCTCTGAGATAACACACCAAAGGGGGACTTTACTCTCTGGAGCTATGAGAATCATGCAAGGCTCGGGTCATGCTCACTCACTCTGTCTTTCAACTCATTGCTTCTCTATCTGAACTCTGTTGACACACACACACTTAGAAATGATGACAAAACACCACAGACATGATCTCTCTCTCTCACACACACTCTCACTGACCGAGGTCAGAGCACTGGACGACCCTGAGACGACAGTGGCAGCCGAAGGGGCACATGGATGTGTCGGGGGGGAGGATCTCCTCTACGGCTGAGCCTTCTTCCTCATCCCTCATCATCGTCATCAAACCGCCGCTGTCCATGCTGTCCATTGCAAAGTCCCAGAAGCCTTTCTGCTCAAAGGGCAGGGCCGAGGTGGTGGAGAGCAGCCGAGCCACGCATAGCAACAGCAGGAGGGAGCAGTGTGGCAACATCTTCCACTACCTGAGGAAACACAAGAAGAAAGAAGAACTATATCAGTTTAACTCAACTTTGTTGCATACTCTTTTAGTTGCCAGTTTATTAAGAGGTTTTCATTCAGCTCCATTGTCATTGGAGGCTTCAACTGTATTGCATTCCTTTTTATAATTGTTATGTTTCATCATGATAGTAGACAAAGATATGCATATTGCATTGAAATGTCTTGGATGTCATAACAGGAAGAAAGAAATCATAGAAAAGAACCTGACCAAGGCAGGATATCTGAAAGAGAAAACAGGGGACTGGCCTGAACTCCAGACCCCAAGAGGCCTTAAATGTTGGAAAGTGTTTAATCTAGAAATCCAAATACTAGCAGATGGACAGAAAACCTGGGACCAAATAGATTTATTTCAGCAAAACATTGAAATCCTGATTGGTTTCAGAGCTGCCATGTAATCTTCAGTGAGTATAAGGTAGTATGAGTGTGACAGAGTTCATACACAATGCACAAAGAGTAGGAGGTGCTGTCAATCCAGCCATGTGGATGAGGTCTTCAACTTCAAAGCTAAGAAGAGTGGTCAGTGATAAATGGACATTGACATATTATGAAATGGTCTGCTTAACCTCAATTATAAAGCCCTACTGTTTATACCACACCTAACAGGCAGACCATGAGCTGGAGGCTGGCGTGGAGAAATGGACTCATTTCCCCGGGGAATCTCTCCAAGAATGGACTCTGGGAATGAAAGTCTCTTAAACCACTCCGACAAAATGTCACTGTCTGCTTCCTGCTCAGCGAGACCATTCCCAAGAGAGTAAGTCATTTGCCACTGACCAATCGGCTAGTGTGGAGGACATCACCTCAGCTGTGGAAAACTTTATTCCTGCAACCGAGAAGTTAAACAAAGCCACCATTCACTAAAAGGAAAACTGGGTTTGCAAGTGTGAGAGTGTCTGTGTGCATGCACATGTGTTTGCATGTCATGACACACACACTCCATGATGTCATAGCTGCGGACACATTCACACTGATGATTTAGGTCACCAGACATCTGAGCACGTGTGTGTAAGTGCATGTGTGTTTGTCCATTTGCTTGCTTTGTTTATCCTGCCCCGCACACACTGGCCTAATGTACAACTCAGCAAAGCCACCTCCTCCCACTTAACCTAAAATATAATTCTTAGAAAAACGAATTATTATAAGGCCAATTGGTCTATTCAATTGGAAGTTTTGACTCTTAAAATCAGGCTAAACCTATATGTTGCAGTCCAACACTGGACCCTTGGGTGACTTAAAACCTAATAATTTCTAACCTTGTGGTATTAATTCCCTTCACTGATCACTGAGGAGTGTTGATGCAAATGGTTAGCATGCGATTGGACTTTCCAAGGAAGTTAAAAGATCCTGTCGCTACATGGTCGCGTTTTCTTTGGAAGCAGGATCAGGATCTCAGAATTCTCGGGACCAACAGATCCAGGATAAGAATTAGCAGGGGAGAGAAAAACCAGGGAGGAATGATAAGGGCAAACTCTTGGATAGTGTGCTTGGAAGTTTGTAATTCATTTCAATTGCATCAGAACAATGTGAGACCCATTGCATCTTTTCTCAGGGTGTGTTACTTACTTTTCTGGAAGCCTTTTGTCTACTAAATGTTACACACACTTGGTGGATTTTTTGTCCTGCCTATTTCACCCAATGTCGTGGGGTATTTCTAGCAGCACTGACTGTTTACAAGACTTTGAATGGCCAAAAAGGGAGAGACTGCAATAATAAAGTTTGTGAGGCTGTTTTTCAAGGACTTTTACAGTTGGGGAAATTCTTCTCATTCCTCATGTCGTACAAAAATGTTGTCTCAACTGATGCTAATTAAATGACAATAAAAATCCACAAAAAAAGAGTGTGGTCAGGGTACATGCATCACAGTATGTGGGTGAACTTACACATGCTTATCAAATTAGCTTCCACTCTTATTCACTATTTTTGATCCGTTTGAAACCTGAATCACATAGGATTTAATTGAATGTTTTTTATGCAATCCGCAGCACCTTTAAGGGTTTTTTGCTACATTCAAAGTAATACAAGTATCACTGAAACAATCAGTAAAATAAAGAGCCTGTGCATGAAGTGGTCCTGGTCTGGAAGCATGAACAACTGGCCCCTGCAGTCTGCTCCCTGCAATAAAAATAGCAGCAAAATTATACCATTATGCAGAAAAGAAAAAACACCACTGGCCTTGGCTTGGCCAGAAGAATGCAGCAAAGACATATATAGTCACCGTATAAAGACATACAACAGAGCTGGAATATACAAAAGGCACCACTAGATGTATTTATACACCTACAATTCCTGTAACTTGTGCTTTGATCAGATTTGCTAAGATCATTGTTCAGCTAAAGGTGTAGCCCCTTTGCTCTATCTAGATATGGAAGTAGATGGAGATGTGTAGACAGAGGTGTTGAGGATGATGGATGAGAGAAAAAGGAGACAGGAACAAGAATAGACTATCATCATCCAGGAATGATGTCTAAGGATACTATAAACACTATAAACATGACAACAAGACTAAACTACATCCCACAATCTTGAGCCTGACTGGCTGTAATAACCATTTTCATCTGGCCCTGGTCTGTGCACATATCAATTCCTCTCATCTGCCTCCAGTAAAGCTGCAAACATCCGGTCTGAGACGAAAACAAACCAAAGGCTTCAACTTAATTGTTACTGGCTCTTATCCCATCTAGAGGCCAAGAGTGGTTTAATGGATGGATGGATGGATGGACTGCTATTATTGTCTCGCTCACTTTGTTTGTCTTCTAGGTGCTGCAAGTGAGTTTGGGGACAGGCAAGTGCATCGAGAATACAAATGAGTGAGCTGTAATTCGCTGGTTGTAAGATGTAGGAAAAGAAGCTGCAAAAGATACAAGGAGGTGTAGGGGTACATAAACTCAAGACTGTTTTTTCTAAACTATATGGCCAAAGAAAGGTGGATAAACTACTGCCAATGCATACTTTTTTTGGAGTCTGGATTTTCAGAATCTAGACCTTTCAACTGCCAGACTGCTGTTGAATGAGAGCAAATCCCTGCAGCCAGGTTCAAATATCTTCTTTAAGTCCTCCCTAGAAAAGTTAAGGCTGTTATTGCTGCCAATAAATGCCTTCACGTTTTGTTCCATAATGACGTGGTTATAATGTTTCGGTGTCTATATACAGGCCATACGGTCTAACTTGTCTTATTTCTGTTAACGTTTAACGAGGTGGCTGCTTCTCGCTCCTGTGCAGCAATGATTTTTTTTTTCAATAAAGCGAAGAAAAGAAGGAGGAAGTTCCCCATCTGTGCAAAAGGTGTTTAAGCTCTCTCTCTCACACACACACACACACACACACACACACACACTGTCTGACTGTCTGAGCCTCTAAAGGTGGTTAAAGCTGTTATAACAGGCAACAGAAGGCAGACACTTTTATGAAGATATGAATTCCAGTGGCTTACTCTCGGATTCAACAAGGTACATGTAGGATTTATGGATTTATGGGAGGGAAAGAGAAACAGGCCAGATATGAGACAGGATTCAAGGATAGATGCTTTGGTGGAAGGATCCCGCTTTACAATAAAACGCAGCGGTGTCAGCGACAGCACCATCTGGGGAACAATCCGGCCCCAACAAATGTATCTCTTGTTTGAGTTTCCCACAACCCGCGACTGAGATTAGCTTTACATTTCCTATATGCACTATCCATCAAGTGCTGGGTACCTGTCAGCCCTCACATCCAGCACAATGACACTAGAGTTCCCACAAGGCAGCCTTTGCCCATGTCAAGCTAAACAAACATATATTTAAACTATGCTCTTTCTGTTGCCAAGAACAATCATCTAAAGATACAACACACCGTGTTTGGTCTCCCATGAACTCACTATAACCTCCCACACAGTCATAAACACAACCCGACTTTCTTTTGCCTCACATAAAGTGCTGCCACCTTTTTCTCTCCAGAGAAAGTTTTTTTACTGTAAAATCATTACAAGCCCTTTTATCACGGCACGTTTTATTCACAGCTGCTGTCTGAAGCAAATGTCAAACCATTTGGCAACTCCATGAGCCACAGACGCCTAAATCCATTAAGCCTTACAATATCGATCAAGGCATAAAATGCTGGCTCATTCTATCCATGTATTCATACTCAGGAACACATTAGCTCTGTTCCTTCGATTGCATTGGCAGAGAAGAGTTAAGGTGGGGCAGAGAGCACGACAAAAGTGCCAGCTGGCACAACATCAGTGGTGTATTGGCAGCCGCCACGTCAACACTCCGTGCAGTTTAACATCACAGGAAGCACAAAGTGATCCCAGTGCTGACTGAGCACAACTACATTTGAAAAGTCTTAGTATTGTGTTGTATAAAATACAATCTTATATTGGTGGTGATGGGGTCACTCCATGGGATGTTTATTTGTTTTCAGTAAGTGTTTACTATTGTTGTCCTCACCCATCATGTTCTTCTGAACTTGATCCAAGCTGAAATAAACTATAACACAAGAAAAAGAAAAAGAAAAAACCCAAAAATGTTTGCTTATGAAAATTGCAAGCTTCTGCCCACACACACACACACACACACACACACACACACACACACACACACACACACACACACACACACACACACACACACACACACACACACACACACACACACACACACACACACACACACACACACACACACACACACACATACAGAAGCTCCTGCACGCAGAAAACACACAGACTCTTACACGTCACATGCTCCTCCCCCAGTATAACCTACATCTTTATCTAAATAAAGGCATGTTTCAGATTATCATGCTAATGCGGCGGCATTGTTTACCAGACCACTTTCCTCTGGCCTCCTAGACCCCCCTCCTCCCTCCTTCTCCTCCCCCTGTCCCTCCCTTCATATCCCCATCCCCGTGCAGACCTCCTGATTGTGCATTTGCAGCTCCCAAGTCCTCCACCCAGCCATTATCTCCTCTTATCTCTTCCTAAGTCCCTGTCGCCC